CTTCCCCCTCCCCTAATTTTAGGAAAGGGGGTAACGTTGTGGCTCTTGAGTTTCAACTGTCCGTGGGCGGCAGTAGTCACTTATCATTAGGTGATCTGATCGCTCGTTGACTCTGTATACCATAAAATAGCTTGTTTGTTACCAACATAACGCATAGATACGTAGTCTTCATTGACCAGCTACCAGTTTAAATCCATTACTTATTTATTTATTTATTTCTAAAAGACACGCTTACAGATTGCTGCCATTACAAGTCACAGTAAACATTAGGGGATAGGTTCATGTTAAGTCTAGACAGTGATCCAAATTTAGCACACACAACATGAAAATGCAAAATACAAGGTATGCGACAAATACAAATATTTGTCATGCTTAATTAACAATAACGCTATTCAAGTTCATGTCTACAGCATACGTAAAAGAAAAGAAGAATATAAAAAGTAAAAGAAAAGAAGAATAAAGAAATACTTACTACGAACATTGAGCATTTATTATATGTGTTATGACCCTCTTCTACCGGAATAATTTACCATTAAACACATCCACGTCTCCAATCTGATTCAGTTCGTTATATGTGCGCATATGTGCACATCCTTAAAATTATTATCCTTATTATTCTATAACTATTGTAATACATAGGTGTTTAAAAAATATATAAAACGTAAAACAATTATATAATCAGTCAGTAACAAAAATTACAAAATGAGATTATTATTTTTCCTGTATTGCCTTTTCTTCATAGTAATCGTAGAAATCAACGTCGACCTCTGGAATAAAAACATGATGTATGTATGTATTGGACGTAGAAGACAGACATTGGTCAATAGGTTTCTGCGGTATTATGTTGGATCTGTGACCGTTTTATATTAAAGCGAGCCAGACACTTGCTTACTTCAGAATAGCTTTAGTATTTACATCAATGTTCAAGCAAGGCTGTCTCATAGTCTAGAAGCAACATGTATCCATACTCTAAAACATACTTAAAAATATGGAGTTTTTAATATGTCACATATATTTTTCCCTACTAGTTACTACATTTCTAAGCCACTTATTATCATTTTTATGTCAAATTCTATTTGGTAACTGTTTTCGACATAAAAATAAAACCTTCAACGGAAAACGGATCCATATCTTTATGAACCCTCTCGTTTTCTATCTGTCTGTCTCTTTGTCAAGACTGTCTATCAAAACCTTTTTCTCAGGCATGCGCGGAGGTTGATCAAGTCAAAGTGAAATTAATATCAAATACTTACGTTTGCGATCCTTTGATGTTATAAAAATCAAGCTTGGAGTCAATTCAACGCAATCAAAGACTAATACCATTGATGTATTTTATTTTAACCAATTTTAATAATTCGTAGGTTGATCAAAATCTAAAAGGTACTTCTCACTGACCTTAGTATGAAGTTTGGCAAGAAGTAAGGACTCAGATATTATTTTAGACATTATATAGAGGTATATCGATTATTGGGGAGTGTATTTTTAGCACAGCCAAGTTAAGGTTGGCTTTTAGTCCGTATGTAATATTTTAGTCATGAGTCACACCTCTCTTAACAGATATAATAATTCTATCGGTAAACCTTTAATTAATTTTAATTACAAATATTTAATGTTATATTCATTAAATATTTGTAACATTTCCCTGCACCACCCAACACTTGTCACAGTAGCCGATTTCAATAATGCATTTTTTTATTTATATTTATTTACCTACCTGAAATACACCAAGGCGAAAGGCGGAACATAATTTTTGAACATTTATTTTCTATTTCATCAAAATCACTTGCTTTAAGTACAGTACGTGACGTAAATATCACGAGAAGAGTTAATAATATCAGTAATTGTTGCATGTAGACACGCGTACTTTTGAACAATGCCATTTATGCAATGACCTCTTAAAGCCATTGAGCTCGATGGAAATGAATAAGCGTTTAATCTGTCACACACAAATGAATCTGTCACTCTCGGCGATATGAATTATTTCTTGCTAATATCCTATGTCGTTCCACACCTACAACTCAAGAAACAAGGGGTTTGCCGTTCTTTGAGCACCACGACCCACGTTTTAGGGGCATATGTGGAGGTCTGGTCCTCCTGTACCCTCACTCATTCGGTGACAATAACGAAAGAATCGTTTAACATTGATTAGTAAGTAGGTAAGGCTAAGGTATTTTTTCGGTGGAGCGTACGCGAGGCATGGCTCTCTAACGATGACGTAACAAATACTGTCAACGACTAAACGTTTACCTGACATATAGCGGTACTGTAATTATAAACATAAACTGCGTATGTAGTTTCAAGGTGAAATTTAATGCGTTGATTACTTCCGTTCTTTCATTATTGAAGAAAATGATGCAATTGAAGTACAATACAGTCATAAAACCACGGCAATTCAATAGCGATTGTTTTTTATTATCACCCTAACTTATAAAGGCATTAATAGCTACTGGGGAGGCTGCGGGAGAGTTGGCCTCCCCTCCCCTGATTCTAGAGGAGAGACTGAAAGAAGGGGCAACGCACTTGACTTGCCATCAGGTGACCCATCTGCTTGTTTGAACCCTTTTCCATAAAAAAAAGATAGGTAAGAAGTTAAATTTTACTGAGCATTACACAAGACATTACATTAAAAAGTTAATGCTCTCAATGCGTCTAAAACAAGCTGAAAAAACAAAATAAGATGATGAGTTTCAAAACATTAATTAACTAATTGGTAACCCTTTACGCATGAGTATTTTTTCTTTTCTATTTAGAGACAAAGTAAAACTGTTAAGAAAAATCTGTTTACAATGAGCGAAGATAATACGGAAGAATAAAAAATAAACTTTACTAAACTAAAATAAAATACTGTTTATTGTCCCACGGATATTTACAGCTATAATCTGCCACTGTATACAATACGCCTTAGATATAATCAGCCACTGTATACAATACGAAGTGTTGACTCCAATTATCACAAATGTGGTCAACTATGTATGTTCCGGTCAGACCGATTGAGAACGCGTACACTGATTTCTCGTTGAGACAATATTTGCCGTTGCAGTTCAAGAAAGCAGATAGGCGCTAATTCAAGCTCAAACACCAAATATAACTGACGTACATAGCAAACTAAAACCAATTCTTACACTTACGGATATTACTTCATTAGGAAGTCAAACTGCATGATGTAAATACTTGGGGTTAAGTTACTGTAATTATAATGTATATTGAATATTTTTTTAATTGTATCAATGACACAATATGTTATATTGATATAATATTTCTGTTTGATTTTGAGTTGACTGTTTTTTGTTTCTTCTCAAGGATAGTTCTCATTTTCAGTAACAAACTGACCTATAAACATAAACATAAAGTAGACATAAAGTATATTATATTATAATATACTTTATGTCTACTTTATGTACTCTAATAAAAATGATTATTATTATAATAATCATTTTTATTAGAGTAACCATGACTTATTGCTTGTTAGTAATACATTACTAACAAGCAATGCGTCATTGTAAACTTATCCTATGTTAGTAGAGATAATTTAAAACAATTAATTTACAACAGTTAATTTATGCACTCCATGAGAGACGGCGCTGCTGTGACCCATGTACCTGCAATCCAACCTCTTTGCAATCAGGGCTAGTATGCTGTTAGAGCTAGCCCACACCCTGCGCACCAAAGATGCACACCGTTTTCGCATATTAGTGTGAAAGCAGTCCACTCGCGCCTCTGCGAACAACCCGGATGCACTACAGAAACGGGGTAGCCCCAACAGCACCCTAAACGCAATTAAAACGCAATTTATGCAAAGTTAAATTGGCATAATTATATGCACAGAGGAGGAAAATTTTACTTTAATCAAAGTCACTGTGAGTTTCACCACCTTTGGAACGTGGTAACCAATGTTCCCTAGGATTTAGTGATTAGTATAAACAAAGTTTAGAAAAGCTATTTTATCAAAGCACATATTGTGTTCGAAAATGCGATGAGATTTAAAAGTTTAAATCTTTTCTTTATGCTTGTTTATCAAGAACCTTTTCAATATTTGGATTTCAGAGTGCAAAATGTAGAGTATACAGCGATGTTTTATTTGCGGCTTGCCGGCCAGTCGAAGATTTTTTGATTACATAAGATCACGATTAGAAACGATCACTAGCACACCACAGTTTAAATAAAAAATATTTTTTTTCTTGGAACTAATAAAATATCATAGCGACAGAATAATGTAAGTTATAACACAAGGTTCATCACAGATCATTAAAAAAGGAGTGTAGAACAGGAGGAACTATTTTATTGTAGTTTTGTTATGTAACATTTGGATTTACAATTCTTTACCTATTAATTAAAATTTCCAATCCGCAACTTTAATTGATTGCTCGGTCTATGGCTAAAGTTACATAATTTAACAATCAACATAAAGTTTATGGTTATAGTTTATACATCGCTAGCAGCTCGTTGTTCCCCGTGTCGTATTTAAATGATCAATTTCAAAAAATAAAAGAGAAAAAAAATAAAAAAAAACAGTTTTAAAAATATTTCTATAAATCCACTTAATTACTTACATTATTTTTCCAAGAAAAGTTTTTTTCACAACTTAACTAAATTTTACCAAGCCCGAGTTATATTTGTTATGGTTTTATAGCTTTCTTTTTACAAATTTTCATTTCTAATTGAGCTACGCGGTTCGTTTTAGTCTAAAAATATACGCTTGGAAGAGCTGTTTTATTTGCGCTGTTGGCCCCATAAATTGGTTGAGTTGGGGGAAGCTAGGTATGTGCATCGCGTTCTTATTGTTTACTTTTGTGTATTATTCAAAAGTTCAGTTTATTTTCTATGCTATATTAGGCGGATCTTACGACACCCACTGGATGAATAGGGGTGGTGACACTCCTTATTCCTAATCCGTCACCACACGAAACAATGTTACGTAAAAGTATCATCATATAGGATTGTAACAAGTCAAATAGTAAATGTTTATGATGGGGCGACTTTATATGCTCTCATACATTATAATGTGTTTCCACGAAGTATATGGAAAGTTAACGGCACTTGAGAAAATAGAATACTGTCAGACTCTGCAATGTGATGAAACTATGGCCAATAAAGTGTGTGGTATAATAAAACAAAATGGAATAAAAACGTATAGACTATTTGATGACGAATGTTTATTATTGAAATATGGGTGTCAAGTCAAGGATGGTGAAGAAGGTGAGTTAGTTTTCAATAGTGTAGTTAATCGCTGTCTAAAATCACACTGAAGGTTGTGAAAATCTCTATACACCCATTATGTATAGTATATGTTATATCATGTGTTACCGGCTAGTGTTTTCTTTCGTTTTCGTGTTTAACGAAAATCACACAAATAATGTTGTATGATTATGCTATGATACCGAGTCTCAATTAGAGGATATATGCCTCATGAAAACAGAAATCCTCGAAAAATCCATAGAGGTCGGATATTCTATTAGTATAGTGTATGTCGCATTAAACCGGCGCGGCGGCGCTGCATTAGGCGTCGGCGCCTGGAGAATATTTTGACGCGCAGCGCCATGACGCGCAGCCGTATTTTATTCTAATATCTGCATATTCAATTCACACTCATATATAGTTACCGTGGGAGAGGCATACTTCGACACAGCCGGCGAGTGATACCACGGCGTTAAGATATTTTTCATATGATTTTAAACGAGTAAACTCAACCGGCCCAAACCCTCTTCGCGCCCTATTTCGGGGGCACTCAAAGGGTGACAGAGCTCTTGTAATTTTTAAGTTGCAAGTATCATTGCGCAGCGCTAGTCATTTATCGTCAGATCTGCTCATCAGACCCCTACCTATCATAAAAAAAAACTTAGGACTATGTTTGTGTTTCTTCTATGAAAGATAATCCTTATAATATAATATAATATAATATAATATAATATAATATAATATAATATAATATAATATAATATAATATAATATAATATATAAAAGCTTTCGAAGGTTTTCTAATATTGCTAAGAGCTTAGGGTACTTTAATTTGATAAAAAAAAAAACAAACAATAAATTATATTGCAATCCAACAATAAGTCATCAAAATGCACGAAGCGAGCGCATTTTTTAAATTAAACGCTTTTAAATAAGTTGTTTAAAAGCAGACATCTTTTGCGGAGAAAAAAAAACAGTAAATCCATTATAAAATTGAGTTTATAACTCAAACAGCGCCACGTTTGTCTCGTCCCTTTGTGTTCCTCTTTGCTAGGTGTTTTTGTTTTGTTGTGACACTGCTCGCAGCAAGCAATGTCTCTAGAAAAATCAAATTTCACCCTTCCTGAAATATTGTCAGTAATTGTGTGCAACTTGCCGTGCAAGTAATAAAAAAGCGTTGAAAACTCGTGTTTGACGTGATGATGCTTTGTTAGCAGGGGTTTTAACCGTAGAAAAAAGTCCATAAATTGTCATCGTTTTTTTTTAATTCACATAAAAGTAGGAAATTCTTAACTCAGAAACTTTTAAGTCGATATATTATTCAATGTTCTTTTTTTTTAATATGGACATTAATCATTCAAAATGGTTATAGTAGGATTTTCAATATCTTTTTGCGTGTGCGTATGCGTATATAAAATTTAGGAAAATTGCATACGAATTATTTAACAAGACTCCAAGTTTGTCGCCACCAATGCCCGGAGCATGCCTAAAATCAGTCTCCCTGGTTTAAGAGATCCGAGCACCTGCTGTCGCAATATGCTAGTGAAAATAATAAAATAGCCTCTTTTTCATCACTATTTTTATTACCCTTTTTAGTAAAGCCTTATTTGTGATGCAATATATAGTATTTTCACTAGCATATTGCGACAGCAGGTGCTCGGATCTCTTAAACCAGAGAGACTGATTTAAGGCATTTAGGGTATCCTAATAATTGTACACTAAACCGTATTACTCACTGAAAATCTGAAATCGCTTTCGCTCTCCTATTATAAATTCAAACATTCTAATTTTAAACAGGTTCAGCCAATCAATAAAGTGCAATGACAAACGTTCAATATTACTACAAGTTGAGCGCAGACTAGTTTTAATATGGACGACGACTACTCATAATACTTTTTCGTGTTACCAGGAGAAAAAACTCACAGGGTATATAAAGAAAAGATTAACTTAGAGTATTGAACGTTATCTATCAGAGTTACATTTATTTTGAGAAGCAAATTCTACTTGTACAAAATGTTAGTCTACTTTTAAAGAGATAATTATGAAATTCCAAAGTCACCAGTTTAGGTGTTCTAAATGTAATATAACCTTGCATAACTCACTTTATAAGCAAAAAAAAATTAAATGACTGTACTATTGTCCATACATATTTTAAATACCTACAATTATAGATATCTCATGATACACTTACAATGCCTTAATCGATACAAGACGGCTTCATACCTAACTTAATATTAACCTGGCGACGATGTTTCAACTAGACTCATTATATATTGCGGAAAGTAATTTATCAAGCTAATAATAACTTAGGGAAGAAATCGCATGACTGTGAATGTTTTTTCTTCGATAAAGTATTTAAAAGTAAAATTATGAATACATTAGTATGCATTGCATTTAACTTGCTAACCAACATTACCGTGAAAATAGTAGTTTCTATTACCTGTATAATAACTTTCATACTACTACCCCCCCTTTATGCCTCTGATGATTGACTAATTATAAATTATATTAGGAACTTACTTCCAAAATTTATAACAAAAAATCTCTGCTTCATTTTGCCATTATGGTGCCAGTAAATCTAATCAGTTCAATTATTCACAGCGATCGTTGGCTGTCGCAAATTATACAGAATAAGAATACTTTATAAGTTTGAACTATTTTTGCTTTAGCTTACGGAATAATAGATATGAAGTACTGCATCGAACACACACAACAAGAGCAATATGAAATAAACTGTCCAAAGAATTGTGATTTGAATTTAAAGAAACCAGTGTGCGGTATTCGAAAAACTGGTGAAGGATTTACCATTAAAATATTTAGTAACAAGTGCCAGTTAGCTAAATATAATTGTGAGCAACGATTACAGTTCAGTGTCACAGATTTTTTTATATGCAATCGAACTATAAATCATAAGCCTCTCTTCAAACACCATAGTGAAGATGAGATGAAGAAAATTCATGCAAGCTTAGTCGAAGAGATTCATGATGGACAGAATTCTTTTGACAAAAAATCTAAAGAATTAGCTAAGTCCCGGTCCAGTACTGAAGTAACAAATAATTATAAAACAAGTATGGAAGAAGCAAACAGAGAAGAGACAAGCAGTAAAGAAACAATTAATAACGAATCATACACTACAGAGACAAATAGTGGAGAAATTTCCACCATAAATACTGCAGACACAGATGATGTGAAAATTACTAATGAAATTTTATTAGAAGATAAAACAACAAATACTCCTTTAGTTAAAAATAAAACTATACATAAAAATATTGTAATTATCAGAGGATCTATGACAGATATGCAAAATATTAATACGACCGCAGACAATTTCTTTGCCGCAACTCATGTGTTCGATTTGCCCGTTCGGGAAATCTATCCCAACTTGACCGATGTTACACGAAGAAGGCTGATACATATATTCGGCCCGACAAAAGTATTCATACCGTGGATGACATTCCCTGAAACTATAAAAGATGATTATTATCATAAGCCCACATTAGGGTCCTGCTTACACAAATGTCCACAGGTAACTATTTCTTTTTTGTTTTATATGTTTTATTTAAAACCGAAACTTTTTAAACTATGAGTAGTTATACGTTTAGTCATAGTTATCCGAAAAGTTATTAAAAAAAAACTTTCCTGACTTAGATTAAGAGTAAGATTTTCAGTTGAGTTTTACATAATGGACGGCAATAGTAAAAGTGTGATTGAAGAGGCAAACGTACTTAACCCAATGATACTTTAGACCCGATTTTTACAAAGGATATCAGCAGTTAATAATAAAGGATTATAAAGATTGAGCATTTAAATTACTCACTGCACTATCATCAAATAAAGCAACAGATTTTTGCGCTATTGGGCTATAAATATAAGCGAAAAAGAAACCGAAAATAATATCAGAGTTATGTGACTCCACAATAATAGGCTTCATTGTTTTCACATACAGAAATGTCCAAATACTTACGCGCCAGTATGCGGAGTGCCAGGCATCGTGGCGCGTGAACCCTCAATCATGTTCCAAAACCACTGCTACATGGATGTGGCGCAGTGTAAGATGTTTTGGGAGGACAAGAGTGAAACAGCTCAGAGCTCTGGTAATGTTTATTTATTTATACTTTATGCACATTCTGTACTAGTCCACCTTTGGGTGATACAGAGAATAGGCTAACTAATTGCTATTCAAATTGTGCTGAGGAGTATTACAAACTAAAACTTGACTACATTTTTATTATAACTGTGGTTGTAACATTTACATATGAGATGTAAATACGAGTACATATACTAACAGTAACTGGTGAAGTATGGATGAGTAGATTTTTTGCGAAAAAACCTTATGTAGAAAGCATAAGGCACGATGGGGTTGACGTATCCATGTGGATAAAAACCCCAATACAAAAAAAAAGAATGAAAACAAATGATGAACTTCAATAACCCTGTAATCTTTGCTGAGAACTAATTTACCTTCAAATTGAGATAATTTTTTGTCAAGTTTGATGCAATGCCCTTAAAACCATGTCTTCAAGACTACTTTATTTTATTTTTAAAAACCATATTTAATTATCTTGAGCTATTTTCTTGCAACCAGCTATACAACTTATTTAGTCTACAATCTCTTCTGAAACAGAGTTAAATCGCAATTCACAATCAAATACTTAAAATATTAATTAGCGCCGAACCACTTGGTTACTGCGGTTCCTCTAATTGGTTTCTCGAATCAAATCCGCAATTTAGTTGTACTTTTGACTTTACCAATAAATAACTATGAACAATCTAACAAGCCAGTAGACATTTTAAAAACCCTGAAGACTTTAAGCCTACATTCAATCAAGAGACCCTTACGTTCCATTGCGCCAAATACGATTTATGACTGATATATTTAGACGGTTATAAACAAATCAAACTTTTATTATTTATGTGTGTATGTACGTCTGTGTGCATGTGTTTGTGTGGGTGCCCGTGTTGTGTGTGTGGGTGTGTGCCCGTGTAGACAGATGCAAATCACGTGAGAGGAAACTACGAGATAATGAATTTATAAGTGTAGTTTAGTTAGAAGTCTGCTGAGTAAATAAGTAAACAACACTCCCACGTAGCTTGTGTCTTAGTGGTCAATTTACATATCACATATTTAGAAAAATGTTATTCCATAAGTGGATATGGTTACATTGACTATAAAAACAACTATAAAATAATAAATCCTCTTGCCATTGTTTTGTTTAAGCAACTATTTTTAATTAAAGCAACTCAACCTACATTAACATTCATTGTACTAGTAGTTTCGCCTAGTAACAGGTAGGAATACAAAAAAATAAAGACTATATATATTATATGATTTTCTTTCCATGAAAAAAACAAATTGTGTTTCTATTTCACAACAAATGAATAATACTCAGAAATACCCCCACGACACGCGTACCAATTAGCAGTATCGAGAGGTTAAAAGATGTACTCGAAGAGATTGAATGCTTGCAAATTGAACGTGGTAATAAAATATTGTAATTTACATTTTTATCTGAGCGTCTCTAGTGGGCAATTCTATGAACCATTAAAAATATATTTTTGTACATGATACCTTTAGACTTTTCAAAGTTTACCTGGAGATTTTTATTTTATTATTTGTGTTTTTGAAAGCTATATCGCATTTTGCATGTTTTTACTCAAACACAGAATACAAAGGTTGGTGGCACTTAAAGGGTCTCACTTCTCTAAAATATTTCAAAATATATACATATTATAGATAAAGTACACTAAGACACAGAACAGATGATTCTGCTCATCATGATGTTATTTGTACTTGGTGGGGATCGAACCCTCGACCTCGGTCTTAACACTCAGGACCACTAGACCAACATGCCAGTCAATTTGACCCATCCGTTCGTTTGGCACCCATACCAAAAAAAAAATTGGACAGGGCTAGCGAACTGCACGATACTTTATTAACACTCTTTTATTAGCTTGATATATCTGTACGTAACGAAATCTTAGAACGTGATTTTGATCTACTTCAAAACGTCGAATTAAATTTTAACTTCGCACACTTATTAAGGACCTTACAATGATTTGATACATTTGGCCGATTTTCCTCATCAGAATCATCAGGGTTAACGACTTTTTCCATACCTAAAAATACGGTACCGCCTTTTGCTAGTACGTAGGCAAAAGGCATGTGCTGAAGCATATGTGACTTACTTACTTGTAACTAGAAAATAATCATCATTAATGACTAAGCAGCAAAGTTAAATGGTAGTTTAAAAAACACGCTTTTCTAACTAGTCGAACTAAAAAGTAAAAAATAATTTTCTATAAGTTCAAAAAGAAAAATAATTTTATCGCAAAAAAGGATGGGATGCTTGAAAGATGTTTTATAACATACTCACTTTTACCAATATATATTATCAATAAAATATTTTTACAACAATTGAGATCTAGTACCCCACGTAAACTATAATATATTATTACACGAATTATAATACCTCTCATTTTTCGATTTGATTTCGTATTGTTATATTCAGAAGGCAGGAGCTACGATATACCCTAATAGATCTTATGAAACACTTTTATATTTTTTCAGCATACGTCGAGTCATCATTCCTCTTTTGTCTCGGAGATCAATTAAACGGCGTATACCGATTCCTGCCTCTCATCAGAACCCTGCAGCACATGGGCCGACTGAGGACAAAGGGCAAATACAAGTACAGATCAAAGAATATGAGATTTTTGAACCAGTTGTTGAGTTATGATCCGAAACTTATGGGTTGATGATGTCATCAGTTCAGTATGAGGAGTACAGGAGTACCTGTAATGTTAATGACAAAATTAATGTTTACAAAGCATTTACAACTGAAAATATACTATGTAGGTTCTTATTTTGTTTGCAAAGGTACTGAGTAAAATAACATTGACATTTCTTGACAAAATAAATAATAGTAATATTTTAAATCGTTCACTTTCTCTTCATTTACTTCTTTTCAGAAATAATGAAATAGTGCCTTGGGAACAATTTACGATATTATAGAGATATCCAAAAAAGTTGCCTTCCTGTAAGACGTTAGAATATTTGTCTAACATGGGAATCGAACTACACATTAATTAATTGTCGTAGTCTTCTGGATGACTAGAAAAACACATATTTACCAGAAATACATAAATAGAAAATAATATCACTTAATTTTGTAAACATATTAGGTGTTTTATATATATATTATATATGTATTTCCTAAAAAAAGTATATAAGTATTCTATCAGTCAATCTAGTTTTCATGGCACAAGCTCTGCTTAGCTAGATGTCCGAAATATAACAAAATTCAATGGTCTTTTCCATCGAATCGAATTGGATCTTTATTTGCAAAATTTAAAGATGAACATCAGTCATCTGACACACAGCGCCATTTAGTTTCAAACTAAGCGCAAAGCTTGTACTAATTGCCTACTAACTAATAGAATACTTTTTTTGTAAATACAAATATATTATTGCACAGACAGTTCATCTAGTGACATGTAAAACTCTTATTTACGAGTCTTTGCAATGTGGTGAGAAAATAAATGAATCATTATTATTTTAGAAAACACCCAAACTCCGAAACAAATATTTGTTGATCATATAAACATATGGCCAGACCCGGGAATCGAACCCGAGACCTCAGCACACTGCACCACCACCGCAATAATATTATAACAAATATATAGGTTCAATGTATTACCAATAAATATTCGTGCACTTAAAAAGTACTGAGCTCATTGGAGCCCCCGGACAACCGGAGCACGTTGTAGCTGCATCGATTGCACCTCGCACAGTCTGATTCGTGGAACTCCCGGGCCTCAGTGAAGCCCTATTCTGGTACACAGATGATGTAATTAAGTAAGTACATCCTTTTACTATACCCCAAATGATTTCGAATGGACTTAAGATACAATTATATTAAGGCCCATTTTTTATGTTGCATCGTTGTGTTGAGAACGAAATCTGTGATGATATTTGGAGAAGTAGGAGAAGTACGAGAGAAAAGTGGTTGGCTTTGTATTTTTATACGTAGGTAAGAAATTCCTAGGGATAGTAGAATCCCTAGGAATTTCTTACCTACGTATAAAAATACAAAGCCAACCACATTTCTCTCACAACTTTGAAAAGTCTTTTCACATTTTGATACACTAACGCACAAACTTTGACTGCAATCAATAATAGTGACATATGAATCACATTTAATTTAAAACATTATTGGTATGTTCAAGAACCGACGAGCACGACACACTGAACAAATAGTTCTAGAACGATATGGTATTCACTAATAAAGTACAAAATTGTCGGCATAAATATGATATTTAAGCCATAAATACTAAAACTGGAACGCAGAATAGGGCTTCCAGTACTCAAAGCCCGGCGAATGTGCCCAGGCAAAGCTCCTTTATACAAACACTATACAAACAGTTCACATTCAGTATGATATTCCAATTTGTAGCATTTGTGTACAAAGAACTGGTGCAATGAATATTTGCGGTATTTCCTTTGACAGGGAGGTTCAATATTATTAGCAGTTTGCAAATATTTTGATATTAATTGAGTGTAAGATATTCAAGATGGATGGCGGTCAAGAATATTTAAGCTCGAAATAAATTGTTCTACTTTGATAGGCGTGTTTTGAGTTGATTTTAAATTTTTGTATGGTGATGTTTGTGTTGCCATTTTACGAAGTATTTGGGTATATATCTGCTAGTTAATTTTTTTCTTTTCTAGTTTATATCAGTTTGGTGATGTCAATCATGAAGACTTTTGTCCTAATGAAGTTCTAAATACAAATAATTAATGTTATTGGCTTTTTAATTAGGCATCTCGACCATTTAGGTATATGTATGAGAATATGCATATAACATTTTATAGATTAAAGTTATTTATTGTATTGTAAATAGAAATTATCCAATAATGCCAGGTAAATACGTATTAGTAAGTAAACATAATGAGGAATGGGTGAGTTTAACCACTGTCTGAGGGATTATTCACTCAATTATAAAGCGACATTGTAATTTCTCTTAGCTGTTTTGCTCTAGTTAAAATTTCGTTTAGAATATTATAGATTTAATTATTTGTCTCAACTATAACATTTAAAGTTTTTTTTTTAAAAACTACCATCTATTGCATTTTTTTAGATTCGTCAATTATATGTTATGTATCAAATACCTGCGTTTTTGCTTGTCAGCTTGCCTGCCTGCCAACCTGCCTGTAGCGTATAACTTACGCTAAAAATGAGTGTGTTAATCTATGTCTAAACAATGTTTACACAGATCTTCCTATTCTTCTTACACTCATACTCAATTGTTAAGCGTATCGTATAATCAATATTTGTAACTTTGATTAAATCATTTTTTTTTATTTTACTGCGCAATAACGAACACAATTATAATATTTTATCAAAGTATTCTTCTTCTTTTTAAAGACAACTCCCGCATTAGGAATATATCCTGTGTCGCGGGGACCTTTACAAACATAGATGAAACGGACACAAAGAACACCCAGACTCAGAACAACAATTTGTGGATCACAAAAAGTGTTGTCCCATGTGGGGATCGGACCACGAACACTCAGCGTAGTTGTAAGCGGCGTGGCGACCGCTTAAACCACTACGCCATCCGTGCAGTCAATTATATGATTACTATTGTTTGTCTGATAGTTTCGAGGTTTAATGTATGTATATGGGGATTAAAATATTGCTCATTAGGCTGTACATAATTGCAATAGTATTTACTCATGACCGAAATAACCGAAGTCACAATTTCTATAGATACCAAAATCTTTAGTTAGAGAGATCGTGAGTGGTACTACCTGGTTTTAACTCCCGGACTAAGACTATATCCTGTGTCACGTTGAACTTTACTTTACGTACATAAAATGGAAATGGAAAACACCCAGACTTCTGAACAACAATTTGTAAATCACACAAAGCATGGTTCCGTTTGGGGCTCGAACCCACTACTCTCGGCGCAGTAGGAAGCGGCGAGGTGACCAATTAAAACAACTAAGCCATCCGTGCAGTCGTTTGCCTACTAACTCACTGTGATGTTATTTAAAAAACCTCATAAACAAGGAATTTTAAGGCAGCTTCTTTGTTATACTGTAATTTAGTCACGAGACTAGGTCAGCCACATTATTATTCCGGGCAACATCAGTTTGCACGTTCACCAACTCAAAATGGTTTATCGTTGATTCACTGAACTTTAATTTCACTATTACCGGCGGCCGTCATCGCCCGGTAATTTAATTACCGCACCACGGACAGTAAATTGCTTATGACATATAGAGGATTGTGGTGGTGGAGACTTTGAATTAAGCTTGACATGAACCAAGGGTAAACTAGTGCATTTTACTCGTTTGAAATAATTTCAGTCAAAACTATTAACCTAAATTTTGGCATTCTTTACCGATCCTTGTATTCAATGAAATCGGTTTTGGTTGTTCTTGCATTTTCGCAAGACCACAACCAAATACACTTTTTGTGGCAGCAAAACCAGGATTTAGATTTAAGACCAAGAGTTTGAAGGCTGTCTTGTAGCTTATGAAGCTCTTGCATTTCACAATTAAAAATCAGTAAATCAACTAAACACAAATTTGGACGATATACAGTTTTTTTTTTAATATCAATATAATGTAAAAGTATATAGAGAATTGACAATTCTGTCAATAAAAAAATAGGTTTTTTTTTAATTTTGAGAATTTTGATGATGAATTTTGAGAATTAATTCATTTTTGAGAAGAGAAATGTCCTGCTGTGACCAAGGCACTGCATTGTAATAAAAAAAAGGAAATTTCACATTTTTAAAACGGATTAAAATATCTTCTCGAATACTCTAATAATAATATTTAATAACAATGAAATGGAAACAATATATAAAAATGTTAGTTTCTAAAGGGTTTCGTCTAGGAAACTTGGTGAAGAAAAATTTATCACTGTTAGTGGTTATATAATTTAAAAACTTTATTGAAAAAGTTAACTCTACAACAACTGAAACAACAATTAGATGAAAACCCTAACCGAATGCTTCTATCTTTCCAAACTGACCGACAAAAATGTATTAAACATTTAAGAAAGAGCACCTATATATACATTTCCACTTTAATTTTAGACTCAAATGTCAGACTGATATCAACCATTATAATGGTATACTGATAAACAATATTAAATGCCTTTAAGGCTAAATTATATAAAAAAGTATAAAAACATGATAAAGATGAGAACTGATACTTTAATACGTACCGAAGTCGCTGCGTTCTGATTTGAAAACTGATCTAGCTGTGTCTGAGCGTTAACTACTTAACACTTGAACGCTATGCCCAGCGTTCTGTATAATCTGATAGTCACTTGACATCCAAGGAATTACTGCAACTTCGTCCTAGGTTGAGTTTCAAATAAACGACAAGTTACGACGAAGCGACTGGTTTCACGTTTTAGTCAATTTTGAAGTTAAAGGCTTAGAAACGTCAAATATAACTCAGACGCTCTGTATAGACGTTATAGGAAGCGGATTGTGGTATAAAGAGTAATGGTACTTTCACTTTAAGATTATGCAGAATTTGGCGTTGAGAATCATAGCTGATAAAAGATTTCTCGACAACCTATGTGGGCTAAACACGGAGCTGCGAGTACTATTTACTTCTTTGTTAGTATTTTACACCTCTGTTGGTTCAGTAAAGTATTGGTTAACTTGAAATATACTGAAAAATATACTGACTGCAATGTGGATGAAAGTTTAGTATAAGTGATATACTGATT